TATTCAAATTCATATATATATATATATGTATATTCTTGTATACATATATACATATATATATATGGATAGTATGTATGTAATATTCTTTTCATAAACAATACATATATGTATATATATATATGTATACATATATATAAGTATATATATATGTATACATATATATGTCCTTATTCAAATATATATATATATATATATATACATATATATATATATATGTATTGTTTATGAAAAGAATATTAATCAGTACCATATCCGTTATGTGAACGCCCACCTGCCTTTGTTGCTTGTATTTTAAAGTTTATTTGTTATTTACCTCCCTCCTTAATTAGTTAACTAATTAATTAATTAATTTGTTTTTCCCTGTCTTCTACAGAGGCCGTTGGTGTGCAGTGGTGACTGCGCTGGAGTTGCTGCCTGACCAGTGGTCACGGCCCAGTGGTCCACTGGTCCTCAGCCCTCACCCCTTATACGCAGCAGATAATAAAACCCAATGCATACAGGGGGCCCCCCAAGGTGCACAGGGGGCCCCCGAAGGAGCCAATGGGGGCCCCCAGAGGGCACAGAGGGGGCCCCAGAAGAAAAGGGGGGGCCCCCAGGGGGTACAGGGGGGCCCCCAGGGGGCCCCTGATGAGAATAAGAAAGGTGAGGAGAGGATAGCAGCGGGGGAAGGAGAATTGCAAAGTGCTGAGCGATCAAAGCGACTGAAGAAAAATAATAGAGGTGAATGGCTAAGAAGAACACAAAAAGTCATATATATATATTTATTTATATATATACATATATAGAGATTTATATCGTTCTATCAGTGTATATGCATATATATTCTATATGTAGATTTATATATGATGCATATATATGTATAGGCGTATATATACATATACATATATTTACTTATTTATATATGCATGCAGTCGTATATAAAAAATCTACGAATTTTAAGTGTTTGTTAATGAGCATGGATATACTTACATACATACATCTATGCTGTATATATCTATGAATGAAAAAAGTATATTATAAATGCATGTTTAAATATATAAAATATATAATCATTTAAATGCTTGTATCTGCGTAGACACATATGAATGCATGCAGATGCATGTGAATAGGCATGTATATATATATATATATATAAATATTTGTATGGATATATATATATATATACAAAAAGCAAAAATATAATTAAAATAAGATTTACTAGTGTCTAGACAAACATGCACTGAGGCGTTTTGTTTATATTTGTTTATTTGTTTTTCTTCAATTACCCCTCCTTTATTACAATTAGTCAGAAGCCGTTGTTTGCTGCTTTTCTCTTTGTTTCCAGCTGCAGACAGCAACGGCAGCAGCAGCAGCAGCAACAGCAACAGCAACAACACCAACAGCAGCAACAGCAGCAGCAGCAGCAGCAACAACAACAAAGCTGTCTATGCACGCAGCGTCTCAGGCCCAGTCGCGAAGGTGCTTCGGGGTGTACGTACAGCCATTGCTGATTTGCATTTATATTCACATCATTGGGAGATCCTCGCGCGCATTTCTTATAAGTCAGCATAACCCTAAACCCTAAACCCTAAACCCTAAACCCTAAACCCTAGAAAGGCAAAGGCATCCACACCCTGTTACCACACCAATTGCGCTGTACATACACCAGATGGATACTACGTACAAAGTATTCAACAGCAATATATATATATATTATATATATTTATATTTATATATATGATATTATGTATAATATATAATAATGCCTTTCAATAATATGCAGCACTTTGTTAGGCTGCTGCTACTGCTGCTGCAGCTGCTGCTACGGCATCTGCTGCTGCCGCCGCCGCATCTGTTGCTGCTTCATCTGCTGCTGCTGCATCTGCTGCTACCGCATCTACTTCTGCTGCTGCTGCTGCATCTGCTGCTGCTGCTGCGCTGCTGTTGAATTGTGGTGAGTATTTTTCGTGTCGTTATATTTTTGTGTTTTGTTTGTAAATATGTCTACCGTTGCCTTCTGTCCCTTTTGTTTGTTTTATATTTATTTATTTATTTATTTATTATTTTATTTATTAGGAGCGAACTGAAAACCTTCGCAAACGCCAAAGGCGAGAGCATGCTCTTCACTGTTCACCTCATAGACAAACAGGTCAGCGATGGTTTAGGGTTTAGGTTTAGGGTTTAGGGTTCAGCGTTTAGGGTTTAGGGCTTAGGGCTCAGCGTTTAGGGTTTAGGGTTTAGGGTTTGGGGTTTGGTGTGTATGGCGCGTTGTCGGTCTTCTTGCATGCCTTGGGGTGTACAGACACTCTAAATGATAATACATAAGAGGCAGCACAGAAAGAAGCACATGCGCTGTTGCTTTTGCTGCTGCTGCTGTTGCTGCTGCTGCTGTTCTTAATGCTGCTGTTCTTACTGCTGCTGTTCTTACTGCTGCTGTCCTGTTACTACCGCTGCCGCATTTGTTGTCATCACTGCCCTTGCTGCTGCTGCTGCTCTTGCTACTGCTGCTGCTGCTGCTCTTGCTGCTGCTGCTGCTACTCTTGCTACTGCTGCTCTTGCTGCTGCTGCTGCTGCTGCTGCTGCTGCTGCTGCTGCTGCTGCTGCTGC